CATTTCTTCGGAAATGCTTTGATAACGTATTTATCATGTTTTACTGGGAACAAATTCCGCAACATTTTTTTATCGAAAGAAGTACTCTGGTTTTTTTATAAAGCATAAACAAAATCGATCTTTTCTGGCCGTGAAAATGGGGATGTCACACCTATGATCTTTGTGACAAAAATAAAGCCCTCATGGAGCTGTATTCAACATCTCAAAATAGAGATCTCTTATGTTCTCTTTGCTCTCTATACTTCTCTATTCTTCCAGATTCTGAGTATTTGTTTTGCGTTTATCGGTTCTTCCACAAATGTTGGAACGAATAATAATCTACAACTATTGTGACTTTAATACCTTTAAGGACTAGAGTTCTCCTGTGCAATTTTACTAGTTATTAATCTATGACTTTTAGGTTGGCTTTAATTTTCTATCTCGTATTTTAATTTGTCCAATAACGAGACAATTTTCTTCTACCTTTCTTATAATCAAATTTGATTGCAAATGATCAATCCTTTCTATAAAAAAAACTTGGTAACAGAATAATAATAATTAGATTTAGTATTTGCATCAATTCGAAATATAATTATCAATATTAATGTGTGGCTTGTTCGCGTAACGATTCAATATTAGTTCATTATACTTATCAACTGGTTTTTGTTTTTCAAGTATGAAATACAACAATCTTAAAGGTTTTTATTGTAATTAAAATCTCAGACAAATGGATACAAAAATCTCTCCAACCAACTTCATACCCTTGAATCATGAATTTGTCAATGGTAGGAACTAAACCTCTTGGGTTGACAAAGTAAAGTTTTTGCATGTTGGTTTTTTTATGGACCCCAAATTACCCCTAGTCCATCTGATCCACTTCCGAAAGCATAAACAAGAACCATAGCTAAAAACAACTTATGGTACATAAATGATGAAGTCTCTACGTAGGGAACTGAGGTTTTATGCCCTGGTTACATAAAGAATTCATGTCTAACTACCTTTTATGATTTGTACTTGTCGGTCACAAATCCTAAAGAACTCTGAAAAGCGTTGGAACTCAAGTACAAGGCACATAAGGAAGGTACTAATAAGTACCTTGTGTCAAAGTACTTAGAGTTATAAATGGTCAAAGAAAGATTAATACTGGATAAGGTTCATGAGCTTCATGTCGTGGTTAAAAAGGTTTACCATGCTTTCCATCTCTCTCTACCAGAGCTCTTCAAGGTTGGTGTAATTATCGCAAAGTTGATACCCTCTTGAAAGACTTATCCGATAGGATGATGAAAAAGTCTGAGGATTACTCCTTGGATGATTAATTGAAGCACCTCTAAATTAAGGGTAAAATGTGATGGGTTTTATAGGTTACAAAAACTATATGGTTGAGAAATTTCACCTAACACTTACGGAACATGAAACCTAAAGGATCTATGTCATAACACTATGAATGTAACATACAATGACCAACAAAACTAACATGAACCCTAATTGAAACCCTAGTATAATCAAAACACAAGAATTAGGGTTACATACCTTTGATTTGTCGTAGTAAACAAATCATTTCAATCCCTTGTAGTTGTTGGTATTGGAAAGCTTAGCACCAAAAGGATGATGCCTCTAATGGCTCACACCCAAATCCTATAACTAGAAGACAGGTGAGGAAAGAGGAAGAGAGTAAATTTTTGTTCACAACCCTTTATGAAGTGAGAGCGACAAAATTTGATGCCAACCGGAAGGTATTTATAGCTAGGGGATCTCCAGGATAAACTCTGATTTGAATAATAATAAATGCATATATTATCTATTCAAGGCAGTTATCCTTATCAGCTCCAGGGGGCTTCCTAAAACCCTAAAATCCCCACAAAAACTGTACACCATATAGATCCCTTTATAATTGTCTTTCCTTGCTCAATTATGAACAATTACAATCCAACCCTTACACCTTTAATTAATTTCAATTAATCTAGAATTAATTCCAGATTAATTCTGATTAATAATTAATCAATTCTAATTGATTTCATATTAATTTATAAATCATATAAATTAACAAATCAATTATTTATCAATTGATCTCATATTAATTTATTAATCACATAATAAATTAACAAGTCAACCATCTATTTCCAATTAATATAT